AACAGGTGATAGTCACTTCTCCAAAACTTTTGGGACTAGATTTGTTTCCAAATTTAGAATAAGAAAGATATGTTGCTGGGGGATGTGATAGAAGGCATTCCTAACATGTTTAAGGCCCTGGGTTTGGGCTTTACTATTGAGCTACATCCCAAGCTTTTTTATTTTGAGACATGGTCTCACTAAGTTGCTCAGGGCCTCCCTAAATTGCCAAGGCTGGTCTTGAACTTGGGATCCTCCTGCCTCAGTCTTCTAAGTTGCTGGGATTACAGATGTATGCCATTGCGCCAAAGCTGAGCATATATTAACAATTCTGCACTTCAAGCCCTAGCACAAGCACATGCACCAGCGCGCGCGCACACACACACACACAAATCTGCAATAATACTTATGTGTTATTTAATTAAATGGGATAAAGACCGCAAAAAGCCTCCCATTGATTCAGACCAGGTTTAAATGCCAAAGGAGATCTGGTAAAGAGTTATCACCAAATGAATTGTCTCCTCCTCCCCTCAAAAAGTATTCCTTGGTTTTCAGAGCATTTTGGATTTGAGAACCTATATAAGGGTCTGGAGTCCTATAATCTAATTATCTCCTAAAAATCATAAGCTCTGCATAGGCCTTTCATTATTTTCTAAATAGATATCAAATATACTTAAAAGCAAAAAGTATAATATGACAAGCCTCCATTTAACCATCAACCAGCCTTAATACTTATTGATACTTTTAAAAAATAAGAAATTGCATTATCAGCAGGAAAAAGCAGTTTAGAAACCAAAAGCAGTTTGGAAGCCAAAAATACTATTAAAACAGTATCCTGGGAGGAAAAACACAAGTATATAGCATTCCTCTGTTTTTGAGAAGAGACGGTTATCTTCTGCACCAGAGTCACGGATACCTAAAAACTACTCTTTACACCCCCACAGGATTCGACATGCTGTAAAGATCATCTTCTCGAGCGAGGAAGAATGAATGAGTTCCCCACGTAGAGAAGTGAGGAAAGGACGCCGCAGCACCCTCACATTCAGCAGCCTATGGACAACCTAAGCAGACAACCCGCGACTGGCCAACTCGGTTACCTTTGACCAGGGCTCACGCTGAGACCCCGCAGCTCACCTGCCCTCTTTTCCTGCCCACCCCGACCCAAGAGGAAGCAGAGAGCGGGACACTCACATCTTGCATGGCCCGGGTGCGGTGGTCGGAGTTGATCTGGTCCCGGAGCTGAAGAAAGGTAAACGGTGACACAGGAGCCGTTAGTTTGAGTTCTGGAGTAGGAAAGGCCGCTGGAGCGGGGCGGAGCTTACTCGTTCAGGTCTTAGCGGCTGCAGCAGAGGAGCCTCCAGGCTGCTGGGCCCCAGGAGGACGGGACCCCGGCGGGAGCGGGGAGACAGCTCCGGCAGCAGGCGGGGAGAGTGCGGGGAGGATCTGGGGCCCAAGGGAGCGCTCAGAGGTTAAACACGGCCCAGCCCCTGACTAGGACCCACTCACCGTGGACTTTTTAGTGAGCATCTCTTTGGCCATGACGTCCATGAGCCGTTCTTTCTCTTCATGGTATCGCCGCTGCTGCTCCAGAATTGTCTCCATCTTCCCTTCGCCGCGACACCTCAATTCCGACCACCAACACGGCCGGAAGCAGTTCCTGCCGCCTTACGCGCTTGCGTCCCCACGCTGTGCATCCGACTACACCAAAGTTCCGCGAATCCCGGAAGTGCCTCGGGGACTCGAAACATGAACACCAGGAGGAAATTCAGTCTGGGATGCCGAGATGGCAACAGTGCCACCTGCTGGTCAGTGAGGTGAAGGAGTGATGCCCAGAGGTTCGCAGGTGCCTCTAGGGGGCATAGAAAATCTAAGAACCTGAGGATAAGCGGGCTCTGGTTTTCCTGTGGCCAGCTGGGCAGTCAGGGACTGAGTAATTGAAGAGTAGGGATGGGAGTTGGGAAACTGGAACTTGAACCTTTTTGCTTTCAGTGTGACCTCTGATAACGTTTTTTCTCTTCTCTGAACCTCTGTGTCTTCGTCAGTAAAATGGGGATGATGGTGTTTTTTAACAAAATTCATATGTGGAAACAACTTCCTAGTCATTAGCAGGGGACTCATTAAATAAAATATCCTGGCAGTGAAACGCTGTAGAGCCTTTTAAAATGAAGGCAAGCCGAACTCAAACACTTGTAACCCAACTACTTGGGAGATTTAGGAGGATTGCATGTTCAAGGCCAACCTCAGCGACATAGTGAGGCCTTTTCTCAAAATAAAGAAATTAAAAGGGCTGAGGAGGTAGCTCAGTGGTAGAGCACCCTGGGTTCAACCCCCAATATGGATTTTTAAAAATCCATTCTGAGAAATGAAAACATATATCCATATGTTCATAACATTACTCCACAAAATTGATGCAATCTGATTCCACCAGCTGGTGAATGGATAAACATAATGTGGTACCACATACAATGGGCTATTGTTCAGCAATAAAGGAATGCTACAAAGATGAGCCATGAAAATATCATTCTACATAAAGAAGATAAACTCAAAAATCACACAGTGTATGTACAGATGAAATGTACACAACAGGGGCTGGGGATGTGGCTCAAGTGGTAGCGCGCTCGCCTGGCATGCGTGCGGCCCGAGTTCGATCCTCAGCACCACATACAAACAAAGATGTTGTGTCCGCCGAAAACTAGAAAATAAATATTGAAAAATTCTCTCCCTCTCTCTTAAAAAAAAAAAGAAAGAAATGTACACAACAGCAAATCCATGGAAGCAGAGGGTAGATGAGTGGTTGCTATGACTGGAGTTACGATTGGAAGTGACTACAAAGGGACCCAATAACACCTTCTTTTTTGGGGTGATAACGTTCTAAAATTGAATTGTGTTGATAGTTGTGTGGTTCTATTAAATTTGCTAAGATTAATTGAATCAAACACTACAAATGGATGAATCTTAAGCTGGGTGTGGTGGTGCACACTTTTAATCCAGCAACTCTGGAAGCTGAGGCAGAAGGATCTCAAGTTCAAGGCCAGCCTCCACAACTTAGCCAGACACCTTATCTCACAACAAAAATTGAAAAGGACTGAAGATGTAGCTCAGTGGTAGAGCACCCCTGGGTTCTATCCCCACTACATTAGAAAAAGAAAAAAAAAAAAAAAGGATGATTTTATGGTAAGTAAATTATACTTTAATTATATGTGGGATCTGGTATGGGAAGGATCTGGTATGTAAATTATACTTGAGGATCTGGTATGGGAAGGAAATTTTCTTTGTATCCACCCAAAGTACAGCATCAAGTTGTTGTTGTTTTTCTTTAACATATGCATGTTACTTCCTCAATTTAAAAATAAATTGGGTTTGACATGTCAAATCTTAAAAATGTTTATATTGACATAAATGAAAGAGTATTGTAGTTGTACATCTAACTCTTAAGTAGGTGGATCACCTAAGCAATGCCATTCTCTGTCACTTGGCCTCAGATCTGAATCTGTCCTTCCCCTAAACGCTTTTCTATCCTCACTCCATCAAGTCAATCACCAAGTTCTGTCTCCCTCCTTCTTGCTACCTACCTCATGACCTCCCACTACCCACTGTCCTAATGTCCTAACAGACTTGCTCATATTAACCCCCTAATCTGTTATTCATGCTGCAGCCAGAGTGATCTTCTCTAAAACTCTGACCCTCTCACTGCTTAAACATTTCCACTGGTTGCTTTATCCACAGGGTGAGGTCTGTTTAGCTTGGCATCTGGCTTTTCACGACCTGGGCTCAGCCTGCCATTTTATTCTCTTGGCACTTCCTCCAAGTGCAATTACTTGCTGCTTCCCCAAAGCACCAGATGTTTTCAGGCCTCCAGGCCTTTCACCAGCTGTTTTCTATGCTTGGACTGCTCTTCCTTAACAAGTATTTATTGAACATGTAGTAAGTGCCGGGAGCTGAGAAGGAGGGGTGAGCAAGGCAGGCACGAGCTCAGTCCTCAGGCCAGTGGGAACAGAGAAACAAACAAAAAAGTAAAAACTACAATTATTAATTACAAACAGGCGTTGGGCATTCATAAAGATTTGTTGAACTGACTCTAACTGGGCCCGGGATACAGTGTAAAGGGGACTAGAATCCCGGCTCTCTGGGGACTACCTGTGTGACTTTAGACGAGTCACTCTGGGAACCATCTCCACCTCTGTGGAATGCACGTAGTAACTAACGTCCGCCGCATTACACTACATTTAAACGATCATGCGGTTTCCGCGGGCCGGCCGGGCCTCTCCCCGCAGGGTCCAGGGTCTCCACCCGGAAGGCTTCAGGGTAGACCTGGGCGCGTACCTGCCTCGGGCAGCCAGACTGCCCAACTCGGCCAGCAACCGCAGGGGGCGCGGGGACGCTGGGATTGGAGCTGGGGGCGTCGGAAGCCAGGCGAGTGGAGCAGCGCCCCGCCCCATCTCCCCACTTCGGGGGACAGCCCCCGTCGCTCATTCCCGCCTCCTCCCTTGAATCACGGGGGTGGGGGGGGGGCAAGGGGCGGGGCCATGACCCATTCATACTGGGAATCGGATCCAGATGTTCCCGCGGCGCGTGCAGCTGCATCCTTGCCTTTTTTGGCAAAAAACGTGCGGCCGCGAGCGTTCCCGGGCCGCCCCCGCTAATCCTTGGGAAGAGGGGGAAGGGGGTTGAGGGTCTGGGCCAGACTGGGGACCAGGACCTGGTGCTCGTATTGCAGGATTTATGCAGGATTGTTAGGGTTAGTGGAGGGGGCGATGTGTACCAAACTAAGAAATCCCACTGCCGTCTGGGATCTCCCCGAATCCCTCCCTTCTTCACACAAAAAACCACCAGCAGCAGCAGCAGCAGCAGGGGAGGAGGCAGGTCAGAGAGGGGCGGTAGCTGAGCGGGGATCTCCTTACTGGGGAGACTTCCCTCTCCATGGCCTGTCCCCAGACATCCCCCTCAAGAAGTCTAGAAGAGCTTTAGTCTGCAAAGGAAGCTTCCTTTACCCTCTTATCCCCAGACAAACACATGAGGCCTGTGCTTCCACACACTGCTTTATTGCAGAATCTGGAAGGGGGGTGAGCCAAATCCCCCTCTGCCCATCTCTGGGCAAAATGAGCTAAAATAAAATGGGAACATGCTTGGTGGACACGGGCTGGGAAGTACTCAGTACCTTAAGACCCTCTAACCAGTTATCTGATCTGCCCAGAGAGCACGAGCCCTAGGGAAAGGGGTAGGATGGAGGTGAGGTCAGCCCGAGTAGCCTACTTTTGAGGACTTCTTCGGCACCTGTAGGAGACCTAAAATCTATGTAGAGAAGTCTTGATTTATGGAGGCCTAGGCCCAGAGTCCAGGTTTGGAAGGTTGGAGTCTAAAACCCTGGTTTGGGAAAGGATTTGGTCTGGGAACCCTGATTTTAGGGGAGAGGGCCCAGTTCTGGACTCCAAATTTGGAAAGCGGGCTTGCATCACAGAGGCTCCATAAGAGCCCAGATTCGTGGGCCTGGGTCAGGGAGTACCAGTAAGGAGACTGAATCCTGGAGCCCAGGGGAAACCCCATTCTGGGGGGAGGCTGGGTCTTAAGTGGTTCAGAAAAGGAGCCAAAGTCCTGGAGCCCTGGTTCGGGAAAGCCCAGGCCCAGGAGCCTTGACTTAGGGCCCTGCCTGGCTGCAGCCTTGACACAGCACTTGGTCTCCGTCCGGCACGAAGCCTTGGCCCACCAGGGAAGTGGAGCAGCGGGCACAGGAGAAGCAGCTGTGGTGCCAGTGTCGGTCTTCAAAGGACACATACTTGCCTCCACCGAGTCCTGCAGGGAGGCTGGAGGTTAGCTCTGCTGATCTGGGGCAGTCCTGCCCCTCAGCCTCACCCAGTACCACATCCACGCCCTTGCCTGCACTCTACCCACCTGTCCCACCGGTGATGGGGCGTTTGCAGCTGCTGCACTTAGGTGCAAAGAGTTCTCCAAAACAGGTCACACAGTAGGGATCGTCATCCCGAGAGGTGAACTGCTGCCCGGCCAGGGGTGTCTGGCACCCAGTGCAGACCAAGCATTCTCGATGCCAGGGCTGATCACGGTAAGTCACTCCACCCTGGGTCAGCGTCTGTGGGGGCAGCATCCTTCAGTGGGGGGGAGTGGGAATTCCCACCCCACAACAGGTCTTACCCCTAGCCCACTGGCACAGCCCCCACCTTGCTGCAACGGGCACAGCGAGGAGCAAACTTGTTCTCATAGCAGGGCACGCAGTAGTGAGCATCCTTGTCGGGCACAAAGGAACGAGATCCCAGTGGCTGCTCACAGCCGCTGCACAGGAAACAGTGCTCATGCCACGTCTGGCCTCCATACTCCAGCTTCCGGGAGCCTGTGGGGAACAGGAGTCCCACTCAGAGGCTATGTTTCAAGCTCCTGAGGTTCAGTCTCTGCTCCACAACCCGCTTGCCCCCACCAGAATGTACTCACTGCTCCCATGGCTTGAGTAGGGTGGTGTCCAGGAACATGCAGCAAGACTTCCACTATGTATAATGTATATTGCACATGCTAACCTCTCTCCAAACACCGGACATGATAGTTCAGTATGTACTAGGCCTCCAAAACTGGTCAAAAGTGTTTTGGTGCCAGGAGCAGTGGTGCATGCTTATAATCCCAATGCTCAGGAGGCTGAGGCATAAGGACTGCCAAGTTCAAGGTCAGCCTCAGCAACTTAGTGAGCCTCTTAGCAGCTCAGCAAGACTCTGTCTCAAAATAAAAATGACTAGGGATGTAGCTCAGTGTTAAAGCACCCTTGGGCTTAATCTCCAGCACCAATAAATAAATAAATAAATAGATAGATAAATAAATAAATAAACAAGGTTTTTGGCATGTATTCATCCTTTTTATGTTTCAGATAACTATCTTAACACACATCAAACCTCCACATAATAGGCATGTTGTCTTGGCATATGCTAAACCCTCATACACCAGAAGAGATAGTTTAACATGCACACAAGAGCCCACAAATGCTAGGAAAGCAAATTTTTGCTTACACGAAGTTCTAATGCCCTGGATATGATGGATTCAGTACATGCTAAGTCCTTGTAAGTTCCAGGCATGCCATTCTCCACACATGCTGAGTCATCACACAGCTATTAAGCATGCAGGTCCCCATACATGTTAATCCTTGCACACACTAAGCCCTGATGCACCAGGCATGATAGTCACACACATCCTTAGCTCCTATATGTACCAAACATGCAGGTCTTCATACATGCTAAGCCCCCAGGTGTGTATTAAGCATGTCAGTCTGTTCGAACATGACACTAGCCCAGGTGTAAGGCCTAATGGTCCAGCCCACACTGAACCCTTAGGAAGGTACCAATTTGGTCAGTTTCTGCACCTGTGCAGCCACAGAGATGCTGATCCCTGTGCACAGTAAGCTTCAGGCACAAGAGATCCTGCACACACTAAATTTCTAGGAATGAGCCGTGTGTGCAGGTCTCTACCAATGTCAAGTCTGTGTGTGTATCAGACAGGATGTACAAAGACTACCCAGATGTCAGGCACTCCAGTTTCCAGACAGGATGAGCTGATGGGGACATACCAGGCATGACAGTTTCCCCACAGGCAGAGCACTGTGAAGAGAAGGCACTGCAGTAACAGTCATTGCAGAGCAGCTCGCTGTCCTGGCAGGTGAAGGGCTCATCAGCTAGAGAGCGCTGGCAGCGACAGCAGCGGAAGCAGCCCTCGTGGAAGTGGCGATCCTCATAGAACAGCTCCTGTGGGGAGCACAACAGGGGCACTGGTGCCCAAGCCTGGTGGATCCATCCTTTGCCCCCTCCCACCAGCCTCCACCCAACTCCTGCCAGGCCTAGTCTGGTCCTTACCCTTGAGTCATGCCCGATAAGCTGCTGGCACTCAGCACAGGTGTTGGCAAAGGTGTTGTCATAGCAGGGCACGCAGTAGGGGCCACTGTCTGTCTGGATGTACTTGCGGCCATACAGGGACTCACTGCATTTCGCACAGTCAAATGCCTCGCTCATGGTGGTGATGTGCGTGAGCCCTGCTGGGAACACAAAGTGGGGCAGGGGTCACCTAGAGGGGCCGTAGCTTAGCCCTTGGCAAGAACTCTTTGCATTCAAAAAAGAAGAGACCAAGCATAGGAAATACCACACAGAGCAGGTAGGGATGGGGAAAGGGGTGCTTCTGGGAACCTAGGAGTTTTGCATTTTTATTTCTGTATTTGACTGTGGGGGTGGGAAGAGGTCAGGAAAAAACCAGGAAGCAGAAGTTGTTTTCTTATCTAGACCCTGGCAGATCTAGGGGGAGGGGGCTTTTCCTGGGTCAGTGACTCATTTCCTGCCTCAGACTGAGTTTAGCCTCCAGTGTGTCCCTACTGTCTCCAGGGTGGCAGGAGCAGGGGGCAGCAGTCACCTCCTGACTTCCAGAAAGGGTCTCTAGTAGATAAAGGAAACTTTACTAGAGCTCTGAACTGGGGAGCTTGGGGTTGTTCTGTCCCCCTCCCCCATCCAGGAAACAATGGAATGCTAGAGGGAGGCTGGACAGATGAATGGTGGAGGCCGGAAGAATGGTGGAGGCTGGCGTCCTCCTCTCCCCAGCAGAATCAGCCAAGCAGTAAGAAGTTGAGAGGCTCAGTCTGGGGTGTAAGCAGGAAGGAAATCCTGCAAGCTGGACTCAGCTGAGCTTCCCCAGCTGGACACTCTGCCCTTACCCCCCTCCACCCCTGCTGTGTCTCAGGTCACACCAGCTTGGGCAGCCCTGGCTGCAAACATCTGCAGCAGCTGTGGCAGCACAGAGGGCCAGATGTCAGATTTGCCAGCAAAAGGGAGAAAAAAAGGAAAATGAGATGGATGAGGAAGCAGAGGGGAACTGAGACAGACCACGACGGGCCCCGTGCTACTTCCTGCCAGGCACCTCTCCTGGCTTCCTCTCTTCAAGGCCCCAAGATCTGCTCCCCCTTCATGATCCTCTCCCCTCCACACAGACAGCCTTTTCCCACCTTTTGCGAGAGTCTCGGGTTTGAGTCTTAGGGTAGAGGTGGGGGAGAAGAGGGCGAGGGCAGGAGCCCGTGGAGATCTTTCTCCTCCGTCAGACCCCCTCTTGGGTGGGGAATAAGACCAGGGGAACCCTGAGAGCCGCTGCTGTAGACACCCAGCCCCCCAACCAAACCTCAGACACTTTCCATTTTCTCAGGAACAAAGCATGTTTGTGGGATGAGGTCATCCACACAGCTGCCTCTGGAACAGGAGCATGGGGAGTGGGGGGGGCCGGTTGGGAAGTGGGGTTCCCAGTCCCTTCGTTCGGCAGCCAGTCTCCAAGTCTCCAGCCCAAAGTCAGAACTCGCTACCCCTGGCCTCCTCCACCTCGAGGCCTGCTCTCTAGGGGCTGGGATTACAGGTGGTGGAGAGGAACCACCAGGACCTATGGGAAGGAGATGTTCTCACAGCTGCAGATAAACCTCTGGGGAAGTTAAGACACTACAAAGGGACCCACCAACCCCCTTCTCTTCCCCAGGAGACACTATGGACTGGCAGTTCTGGCTCAAGTTGAAGGAAAAGCCCTTTTCTCAGCCACCCCAGTGGGAAATTCTCACCCACAGCGTTGCTCTGGCTTGGAGTTCAGACTTCAGGCGCCAGTAAATGCCCCAGGCCTGAAGGCCCTGACTCCTCTGGGGGTTGTGTTTGAAACTTCCCTTCCATACAGCGGAGAACACCCAGCTCACATTCCAGGCAAGGCCTGAAGGCCACCAGAGCTGGGATCTTCACAGTGGGACTCCTGAGGTAGGAGCTATGCTGTAGGGTGGAGGTTGCCACTCCTCAGTCTCTCCCTGCCACTTTGGCCTGGCATATAAGGATTGCCTGGGCTGTCAGCCACTGGGCAGCAGGGGGCCACGCAGGTGGTATGTGGCCAAGCGTCCCTCAGGGAGTACCCTGGGCCCTTTCCTTCCTTCCTGGCATGGCTGGCAGTAGCAACCATCTTTCCAGGCCCAGGCTAGCCCTGGATCCGCCCCTGGGAGTCAGTCACCTCTGAGACAGGGGAACCCCAAATAGGGTATGGGTGTGGCTTGTTTCCTTCCCAGAATCCCCCATTCTCTTGGTCTTTCCAGCTGGGCTCTGGTGAGGACACAGTGAAGGGCACCATCAAGACCCACCTGTCTCTGCCCATCCTTCTCCCTCCCCCTTTCCCTGGCAAGGCTGGGAGGCAGAAAGAGAGCGGGAAGCCAGTCCTGTATTCCTTCCTGGCTGCTAAGGGGATAAGGTTCAGGGGAGACTGCTGGATCTGCAGGATGGCTCTCAACCCTTAATCCCACCAACACACACATCCCTCCACCTCACCTAACCTAGACACACATACCATACACAGTTTAGAATGGAGTTTAGAATGGCTGGATAACAGTATGGTGTACAGTGTATAGAGGCTTGAGCTATGAAACAAAAGTCTGGGATTTGAATACTGTGACTTTGGACAAGTCACTTAAGTGCCCGGAGTCTCTTTGGCCATCTAGTTAAATGAGATAATGCTACTCCCTCCCTCCTAGGATTGTCATCAGGCTTACATGTGATGATCTTTGGAGAGCACTTGGTAGCTAAGTCCCCAGCGAATGGCAGCTGTTTGCATTTTTACTATGAGCCCCTCACTTGTACTGTGGTCAGACAGAAGGCCTCATGCAGGCCTAGGTCAGGGAACTAGTCTGGGATGTGACCTGGGCATTCCCTGTGTAGGCTCACAGAGTATAGGAGGTCCCAGCCTTGTAGATCTCACTGAGGTGACCACCAAGACCAGCCATCAGCGCGACTCCAGTGAGCATAACTGTAAGACTGCTCATGCAGGTACACAGGTGTACACACCTGTCTGTTACTCTGCCGCTCCACAAGGTACATTCCCACCATCACCTCATTAGCTCCCACAAAAGACAAGCAGAACAGAATATCGCTCCTACTTTATAGTGGAGCACAAGGAGGCCAGAGACAGGGCGGGGCATGGCCAAGATTGCTCAGGTATCAGATCTCAGGTCTCCTACCATCCAGCCTGGAGCCCTTTCCTCTTCCTTCTCTCTAGAAATGTTTGGTAATGGGTGGAGGGGGTGGTCAGCTTTTAAAGGCAAGGGATATATACCAAAGCTTGGCTCTCCTGCCCAGCTGCCAGCCCTGTGATTGGAAGATAACCAGAAGCCTTTCCAATTAGCCATGCCAACTGCTCAACCCTTTTGTCCCCCCTCCTCACTGTCCAGGAGGACCCTGGCCAGGCCCCACAGTTGTGAGTCAGAATCAGAATAGATTCCTCCTCCAACTCCCAGGAGTTGACAGGAGACTTAGGGGGAAAACTAAAGTCCTCCCACCCCCACCCCTGTACCCAGGCACCAACCCCAAATTGCTCTCCCCCTTCCCCCCCTACAGGGCCTGGAAGTCAAAGCAGTTTAGGGGAAAGGGGGTGGGAATAGGATCCGGCAGCTGCTCTGGGGACAGGAGAGGAACAGTTCATTCACCCTGGGTCCCCCAGGGCTGAAGCAGCTCTTCCAAGATTAGAGTTTAAAAATAAGCTGAGGCTGTCTTGGTGGCTGTGTGCATGCATGAGGCTACTTCTTGATCTTGGTCTTACTGACTTAGGTCCTCTGCCTCATGGGGGATTGGTTAGCTGAGTCTCTTTTCCCCACAGCCTTGTCTCCCACTCTTTAAAGGCCTGGATCTCTCAGGGTCTGACTTGGAACTGTCAGTGCACCCAGGTCTCTCCACCTCCAGTAACTTACAGTCTCTGTGCCTAGCTTGGCTCCACTCAACATCTTTGTGTCAGGCACACTTAGGCTGGTCTCTTTATGTTTGATACAGATACATAACTCTGTATCTCTGACCGGCTCTCTCCCAGTGGGGCCTCCACTACCTGGATCTCTGTCTCCTGTACACCCAAGTCTTGCTTAGCCTTTCAGCGTCTCTAAAGGGCTGAGTGTCTTAGTCACCACCACCTCCATTTCTCAGTCTCTGCACCCAAATCTCTGTCTCTTAGCATCTCTGCATGCCTGAGTGTCTCTTTTTCCAGTCTCTGTAGATCTGAGCGGCGGATTTAGCAGGAAAGTAGCAAAACTTCAGCCTCCAAGGCCCTCCAAGGCCCTGGCAGGGGCCCTAGCTATGTGTTCACGGGGACCATATGCATACTTTTTCTTAAAATGCTGCACAAAATCCGGGTCTGCCCCATGCCTCAGGTCAGTCGCTGGGCAACTCTGTATGTCCAGTCTCTGCCCTTGTTTCAATGGTCTCTAGCCTCCTGTCCCGGTCTCAGTCGTCTCTCGCCCCAGCAGGCTTTCTGGGAGCCTCAGTTTCTCTAACCCTCCCCCTCCCCGGTCTCTCCACGGCTTTTCTACTTCAAACTTGGCCCCCTCCCCCGCCCCACTCTCGCAGTGGTCCCCGGCCGGAGCCGTGCAGTCCCAGCGGGTGCTCTCCAGGGCTCGGAGCGTCCATGGTGCCCGCGGTCGCACCTGGCAGGGGCAGGGGCAGCGGCAGCGGGCCAGTAGTCCTCAGCCCGCGCGGGCGGAGTGCGGGGGCCGGCAGCTGGGGCTGGGAGCCGGGTCGGTGGGGCGCTCACCTCGAAGCGGGCGCACGCGGCGCGGATGGGGCCGGGGGCCGGCGTCCCTCAGCAGCTCCTACCTGCTAGCCGGGCCGAGCGCGGCCAAGCGAGCGCGGCAAGGTTGCCGGCTGCGACCGACTGTGTGGGCGAGTGGGCGCGCGGCCCCAGGCCTCCCGAGGAAGTGCGCGCGGGCCCGCCCCGCCGGAGCCCGCCGCTGGGCCAGACCCCGCCCCCGCCGCACAGCCAGCCCCGGCCGCCCCAGCCCCGGCAGCCCGGCCCAACCTGGCTCTCCAGACTGCCCCGCGGCCCGGACCCCGCCCCACCGCGCCCCGCCCCTCCCTGCAGCCTCCGCTGCCCTCCCGCTCTGCGCCGCGACCCTTGCCGCAGCGGGAGGCTGCGGTATTCCACCCCAGGCAAGGGGTGCAAACCGGGATACATTTGGGGACTAGGAGCCCTTACGCCTCCTGGTGTTCGCCCCTCACTTGCCCCCAAGTTCACCCCCAGGAATTAACTACACCCCAGTTTATGAAGGTAGCCTTAATACAGCTTGGGGGCGGGGGGGGGAGTGGTTTTTGACTCTGCTATTAAGGCCCTGTCAGTGATAGCAAGGTATTTTCTGGAAAGGGGATGAAGAGAGGTTCCCCCTTCCTGCCCACTCAGCAAGGCCTGACCTTCCCAGAGCTTTATTCCATAACTCGGAGTGGCAAAAACCTTGGTAACAAAACTTGGTAACCACCCACCCCCACACAAACCTCCTCCTGCATCCTGGCACTGAGGAGTCCTGCTTGTATCCACAGTGCCCAGGAATAGTTTTGACCTTTGAGGCCCAGGGAGACCCTAATCCTTGGCTCCATGATCTTTGGGCTTCTCAGGGGGGGGTGTGAGGGTATAGGGTACTTCAGGGTGGTGGAGGAGATGGGAGGAAACCTTTGTAGTTCTGACTCTCAGGCTTCCTCCCTGTGCCCAGCAGGGAGGAGAGGACTGGCATTTGCCAGGGACATGGGGCCCCTCCAGGTTCTTGAGGCCACCTCCCCTGGGATCCTCAGGCTTGTCACTAGGAATAAATAGCCTCAGGCTGGCGGGGGAAAGGGGGGTGGGGAGGAGGCTCTGCTGTGCTGTTTGCAAAACAAGGGACAACAAACTAACCCTGGAAATAACCTCAGCATCTCAGTGGAGATTCAGGTGCCCAAAGTCTCTCCCACAACCCAGGCAGCTCCTGCCAACCTCTCACTGCAGGCACTAACACCCTCCCAGCCTGGGACTCTGGACGACCCTTCCCTGTGCATCATGTGCCATTTTCTGGGTCTAAAATCATCCTCCACTCCAGGTTTCCTTTCAAAAAAATAATTGTTTATTATTGTTTCTGCCTAAACTAGGCATATTGGGTCCTTTTTGTTTAACACTGCATTCCCAGTACCTACTTCAATGCCTGGTACATAATAAATATGAACCAACGAATGAATGACACTACTTCAATATGGACACCCACCTCCCCAGTTGGGACCATCAAGCAGTAGTGAACATCAGCCCATGGGTGGGCCCTTTCTCTGGGATTTGTCTTGCAGGTGTACAGGAACCGGAGAAACCAGGGAAAACTAATCTTCCTGATTGGAGTAGGAAGCAAGAAGGGGTCTGCTCTAGGGTGAAGGGAGGGCAAAGTGAGAAGTCTTCAGAAAGGGAGGGGGTATGAGTGAGCAATAAAGTGTTGGATAAAAGACAGAGTCTTGAGATCTCTTTTCTTTTTTTTAATAGCTCAATTAAAAAAAAATAATAATGCCTTTATTTTTATGTGGTACTGAGGATGGAACCCGAGTCCTGCCCATGCTAGGGGAGCACTCTACTGCTGAGCCACAACCCCAGCCCCAAGAGCTCTTCTCTGCTGAACAGTCTAAATGAGAGACAGTAGTTCCTGAGTTCTTATTTTGCACCAGTCTCTAAAACTTTATATATATATATATATATATATATATATATACACACACACACTTAATTACCCAACAACTTTATTAAATATATATTTTTATCCTTGTTTTAAAAATGAGAAAATGGAGGCTGAAAGAGATTAGCTTGTCAAAGCTGACACAACTAATAATAACAAAGTCAGGCTTCAAATCCAGATAGTCAAATGTCAAAGCCCCTTATGCCAAAAAAGAGCTTAATCATTAGGTTGTAGAGCATCTGCAGTCATTTGACCTTTGTAAACGGGTCTCCTCCTGTCTCAGCATTGTTGTGAGGACTGGATGTGAGCACACAGTAGATATCCAGTATGTGTCCCCCCATCCCATTTAATTGTCAAGTGTTAAGGTTCTGCTGCATAGACTTGGAGTCTGAGGCCAGAGAAAATTAGGAGACCTCTGCTTTGAGCCAATCTGGGGAAGGGAGACTGGTCTAGGGCAGGGTGGACTGTGTTCTTTCCCATCTCCATTTTCAGCTCCCCAGTGGGTTCACATTTCCCTGCTCACTTTATTTCCATTGGCCCTGGAAGATGTGCCACAGGGAGTTCAGGGATCAGCCACATGGACTCCCTGTTCCTGTTCCCCATCTGTCTTCTCCCCCTCCCTGGGAAACAGGTGTGTCTGAGCCAGGGCTGGAAGCAGACCCTGAGTGCTGGATGAAGGGCCTTGGGTAAGTAGGTTCTGGTTGTCCCTTTCCCACCCAGGAAGTCCCCACACACCTTTGCCTATCTTATGCTCAGGGTCCTGCAGCTGTTCTCTTACCTTTGAAAAGTTTTCAAAAGGAGGCCCTGGGTGATTACTGACAGGCCTCTAGTGGTTTCCTCTGATGCTGAATCACTCTCTGGTGCCTGTAACCACAAGCCCTCCTTCTCCTAAGTTAGAAGACATTCTTCCTTCTCTGGGTGTGTTGCTCACTCTTACCACTGCAATGCCTAGAGCTCTTGAAGGCCTCAGGGCTTAGCAGACACCTTCTTTCAAATCATCCAGAAACTTCCTTGTGATCTCAAGTCTGGCAATAGGTTTATGGGTGAAGAGGGTGGAACAAGTGACTCTCACAGAGCATAGGGTGGGGGCAGAGAAAGAACTAACATGGTTAAATGCTGACTGTTTGCAGGATACCATGCTTAGACTGGCCATTCCTATGTTTAGTCACAAAAACCACACGAAGTAGTCATTGTTTTTTATTTATTTACTTTTATTAGCTACACATGACATTACAATGATCTTGGCAATTCATACATTTGAATCAATTGGGGTATAATTTCTCATACGAAGTAGTCATTGTTGATCATCATTTTATAGAGAAAGACAAGGCTCAGAGATTTTGACAATGGGGTTCCAAATCACAAGTCAATAGATAGTAGATAGATAATCAATCCAATGCTGCTCCAGAGTCCTCCACCTCCAGAGCTGGCTTCTGCTGGCTCTGCTGATACAAAATATTCTTGGGGGAAGTGGCTGGGGCAGCCACCTGTTCACTCTGATTGATGGCTGGTCTTTTTAATTAAGATGAGACTGGAAAGGTAGGCCAGATCAGGAAGGAGCTTGTCTGCCAATGCAAGTGAAAATTGAGATGGAATTTTTTTAAATTCATGTGATCCTAGTTGGGCAAGGCTGAAATGCAGAGGTAGGAAAAAACTTTCTGCACAGCAGATCTCAGCTACTTTTACTTTTTTTTTAAACAGAGTTATTGAAGGTGAAGGTGAAAATAAAACTCCATGAGGTGGCAGGGATTGGTCTGAGCAAGAGAGAGAGTTCAAGCCCACTTTTACTCTTTCATGCCTACTGGTTGGCTGGACTGGCCCCTCCAGGGACTCTCTGGAGATTTCTCTAGAGCTCTTCAGCTGGAGAGGTTGCCCACTGTCATAAGAAACGAAGGTATCATGTATGTATAATATGTCAAAATACCCTCTACTGTCATGTATATCTAAAAAATAAAACAAAATAAAAAAGAAATAATAGTTCAAAGTATTACAGGAATTAAGAAGTAATGAAAATTAAAAAATGAATGCAATTATAGAACCTGCTGAAGTTCAGCTTCACATAGTGGAAAAGAAATCAAACATCTCTGGAATGTTTTGCTGTGTTCAACTCTCTCTTTAGACCTAAAAGAAGTTTAGTAATAATAAATATAACTGATAGCTCCATTTTATTGTGAACCTAATCAGTTAAAACATATTTAATTCTCCCAACAATCCTGGGGGTACATTTAGCATTATTATTATTACCTCTGCAGACAGGGAGAATGAGGCTCAACAAAGCAAACTTAGCCTTTGCTGGTTGGGATCAGAACATGCCTCCATAGTTCATGGTCCTATTTCATTGTACCGCCTTTGGCACTCACTCTGCTTCCGCCATTTCCATGAGGGACTCAGAACTTTATAACTATTGCTATTAGGTGATTTCATTCTGTATTGCTTTACAGATATGATTCCTCAATTCAACTATGAGCCCTTTACATCCCTGAGAGGGTGGAAGTGCATGCTATTATTAGCCTCGTTTTATGGGTGAGAAAAACGATGCTCATTAAAGTCAAAGAGCCTGCCCAAAGTCACACAGCCAGTGACTTGGCGCACATAACTTTAAAAAGTCTCTTGTCTTTCCTTGGACCGCTCTTTCCGGTACACTGTAAAATTCCCATTGCTCTTAGCTTTAAACATACCGGCTCCGAGCAGTGGGTAACCGCACATGCGCAAACTCCAAGCCCCCTCAGCCTGAGCAGTGACAGCCACGCGTTCCCAGGTAACAACGCGCGGCAAGCGCTAAAGCTAGGTCTTGGTACGCGTGGATCCGCTCAGGCGAATAAGAGCCTGCCCGCCCTCGCAGAGTCACGAGACGACACCTAGGAAACTACAACTCCCAGAAGCAGCTTGCGGGGGTCGCCTTGGCTGGGAGACGTACTTCCGGGAATTCAGGCTTCTGATACGCTGCGAAGCGGAAGTAGGCGGTTCCAAGTAGCTGAGTGTGGGACCTGTTTCCGGCAGGATTGGTGGACGCGGAGCCTTAGGAGGTGCGGTACCGGTGTCGTCCAGTGAGCTTTTCAAGAACTGAGCGGACATGGCGGCGGCATTTCGCAAGGCGGCTAAGTCCCGGCAGCGGGAACACCGAGAGAGAAGCCAGGTAGGACCGCACAGGCCCCACGAACGCTCGCCTGGGCCACATGTGCTGCTCTCGCCCCAAGCTCCTCACCGCCC